GAGGCACCTCTTAATTTTTAGCTACTCCTCAGGGTTCAAATAAATATCGAATTCACGACCAAGTCCACCCAGAGACGTTAGCTAGATGGGATATTTTTTGGTACTTAAGGAAACAAGGCAATTAGTAATTTTTCCTTTTTTACCCTGAAATAAAGGAATGCCTGAATTATCTTGAATATGTTAGCACCGGTGGCCCTCAGCATCTAAAAATCAGCGTGGCCAAGCGACTGCCACATTTCCTCCCAACAGTGAGAAGTGCCTTCTTTAAACCGAAAATACCTTGCCTAATGTTGTCAAAGTTGACAAATTTTCTGAATGAGCTCCAAAAAGCTTCATTATGAGGCTATTTCTGCTCACAGAATCGTCAGTGGATGCTCTAAGGAGGCAGACTCGGCTCTCTTTTCTGTTGGTGGTTGGTTTGGGTTTTTTTTTGTTAAGTTTGCAGAGAAATACCTTGGCAATCTCTGTGCAGTCTCCATCACTATTGCCTTTCACGAGGAAAAAAAAAATATACCAACAGCGTGCTGGTATTCCTCTCTCTGTGCAATACAACAGGGAGGCTAACAGCAGCGAGCAGGAGGAGACGGTACTACAAATACAACCCACCTCAAAACACTGCCAGGTAACGCAAGTGAGACAGAACACAACTCCTAAACAGTTAATCAGCCTGACCTTCTTTAGCTGGCTGCCAATTTCACATTTAATGAACTTAAAGCCACAGAGAATCAAAAAATAGATTTTAATTTGACTGCACGATATTGGAACTGATTTTGATAAAGTGCAAAAATCCAGTGAACTCAGGTTAAATTTATTTCAACCCTACCTAGGCTGAATATTGAGGAGGAAGATCTGGAGTAGCTCCCAGTTGTGCTGCGTAAAATAATATTGAAAGAGCACACTACCTCGCCGTACCTCAGCTCCAACTAGGACACAGGGATCCAGTCCATCATTTCTTGCCTCTAGTACTACTTCTAATTTAACATAAGGTCAACCACAGGAATATGAAGGTTATGTTCGTATTAATAAAAACAATGTCTTAATCGCTGGGGTTTTCTTCTAAACTTACAGACTGAGAAGATAAGCCCCACAACATGCATTTCCCACTCCTTGGGAAGCCGGGAGAGGAGCAGGGTGTTTCTGCAGGATTGCTGGCCATGGCGTTTTTCTCCCCAAGCCAATTCCTTACGTTCGGACCGAGGGAGTAAATTATTGCAGGACTAATTCCACCAGTAGCTCGCTGCACGCCGCAGACAAAGGTATTTTGCAAATCTAACTTCTAGCTCACCAACTCTCCACAGCAAAAAGGCACAAAATAACCCGTCTTCCCCTTACAACTGGCTTAGCGAGGAGCTCTGCATAATCATTACTCAATTACAATGTTTTCCCGCGGCCTGATTTCTTTCTGACGCTGTCAGTATTATTTAGCAGGGGAAGGTAACCCGCTGCTTCGGCACCAGACAGCTAAAAGTAGCGCTAAACAAAAATAGACTTTGCTAAAGTCTGTAGCGACTGGGCTGATTTACAATCAAAACCAGGAAATGAAGTGGTAATTCAGAGGTTGCTGATTACACCTCCACATTTCACCTAATTAATTTTATAGGAGGCAAAGTTCTTGAAAATAACAAGATGATCAAATGTACAGATATAAAACCCGTAACCTCAACATTTTCTATGCTCTTAACGTAAATTATTGCTAATTAACAAGAATTATATACTAACGTATGAAATATGGCTGGTACCGCGTTCTCTGCAAAACATTTGGCTCCGGATGGAGGCAAAGCCAGCAAAAATATGTTTTTATCATCCCTGATACTTTTAAACAAAATACAAAATACCGGCTTTACAAAGAAAACGCCGAAATAGAATTCACCTGGTCTTGCCACTGATATGCAGGATGTGTCTTTTAATTCTGGGGCAATCAAAATTCCCTGCCTGGGTCCCTAATCATCCGTCCCTATTTTTCATGCAAATTGCCCTTCCACCAACATGTCTTTTCAGCTTTCCCCCTTCGCCCTCCTACTCCTCCTTTTTTTCTTTTTTTCTTTTTTTTTTTCCCCCCCAGTCCAAAACAACCGCACCGTCTCTCCGAGAAAAGCGGGCTGGATTTTTGGAATGTCGGGAGAAAGGAGGTACCGGGGGTGATGGGAT